CCAATTGAGCAGTCAGCTGCCTGTGCAGGGGTAATCGAAGAAGCAACCTCTGGGACCCTAAAAGTCCAAGAATCTCCCCCAAGGCCTACCAGGTACTACTCGCTCTCTCTTTTTTTAATACTACTGCTTAGAGATAATTGATAGTATAATTTTTCAAACTTTTCACAGATACACTCATTTTGGACCTTTTTTTTTATAAAGTGAAATCATTTTTATCTTGTTTTTTTCAATTAAAAAGAAATTTTAATGGGCCAAGAGTTTAATTTTAGCATATTTGGAAACTTCCTTTCCTTTTCACTCATCTCCCTATGCCCCTATGGGTCATCAACTTATTCTCTGTACCTACAGGTCTGTTTGTTTTGTTTGCTCATTTGTTTTGTTTTTATAGATTCCACATATAACTGAAGTCATATGTTATTTGTCTTTCTCCATCTGACTTATTTAGCATAATACACTCTAGGTCCACCCATGTTGTCACAAATGGCAAGATTTCATTTTTTATTGCTGAGTAATATTCTATTTATATATGTACCACATCTTCTTTATCCACTCAACTACCAATAGACACCTAGGTTGCTTCCATATCTTCACTATTATAAGTAATGCTACAATGAACACGGGGGCGGGGCATACATATTTTTTAATTCATGTTTTTGTTTTCTTCGAAAAATTTCCAGCAGCAGTATTGCTGAGTCATCTGGCAACTCTATTTTAAATTTTTGAGGAATCTCCATACTGTCCATTGTAATTTACAATCCCAACGACACCAATTTACAATCCCAACGACAGCACTTGTTATTGGTCGATTTATTGATGATAGCCATTTTTTCTTCATGTAAAACTTAAGCCACAGAATTATGTTCCCAGCTATGTTGACAGCCAAAGTTCATAATTATCAAAGTAAAAATTTGATGTCTCTTCTTAGTCCATCCCTTATTGGTCTAATAGCTTCCTCCCAAAAAGGAGTGTGTATCTTATGGGGGTGCTAAATGTACAAATAAGGGCTTTAAGTCAACACTATTATTTCATTTTCAAATTATTTCCTTTTTCTAGAAAAATATATTGTCAGTTGAACTCTGCATAACTAAAAAAGACATTTAACTGATCTTAAGCTCATTTACAGGAACCAGTCTCCTTTTATCTCCTCATCTTTCTTGGACTTCAATCCCCTCTCACCCATGTTCATTCTACCTAGTGTAAGGTAATTTTCTTTGATGAACAGGTTGGACAAAAATAGACTAGTGTAGCTTTAAGGTCCACCTCATTTGCATTCTTCTCCTTGCTTTCTTTATCATTTTTCCAAGCATCAGTCCATCCAGAATTTTGGCCTCCTCTAGCACACGCTAACATTTTGTGCCGTCTTTATATCTGCCTTGTATTATAACTTTTCTTCCATCTTCTATTCATATTTCTTCCCTTGTAACCATACTTTCACATATCCTAAAAAGTAGAGATTTTTTTCCTTCAGTTATAATCCTGCCTTTTTCAGATTTTCCTATAATTATAACAAAGTCTCTCTTGCCAAAAGGCCATGTAATTAAATCTCGTGCTAAGTAATATATTCTGTTTCCAAAAGCTGCTTTTTTGGCAACTGGTAGGAACATTGATTATTCATGTCCACAGAAATCACGATGCTTGTGGGTGATTTGATACTTCTCCCCCAAGTTATGGCTATGATTCCTAATAAGGGGTTTCATGTGTACTTCCACATCAAGAAGAAATGTGGAGGCATGTGGAGAGAAACACCAAGCATTAAGAATGCTCTATATTGCTCTATATTGTTTTCTGATATCTCTGTAATGTTTTGACTTTTAAGTCATAGCCTTTTTTCTAATTTTTATGTATTTTTTTTATTTTTCAATTACAGTTGACATTCAATATTATTTTATGTTAGTTTCAGGGACAGCAGTTAGACATTTATATAATTTACAAAGTGATCTCAATTAGTACCCACCTTGCACCAGTTATTACAATATTATCAACTATATTCCCTGTGCTATACTTTACATCTCTGTGACTATTTTGTAACCGTCAATTTGTACTTCTTAATTCCTTCACCTTTTTCACTCAGTCCCTCAACACCCCTCCCAGCTGGCAATCATCAGTTTGTTCTCTGTATATATGAGTTTGTTTCTGTTTTGTTCGTTCATTTATTTTGTTCTTTAGATTCCACATATAAGTGAGATCATATGGTACTTGTTTTTCTCTGTCTGACTTATTTCGCTTAGCATAATACCCTCTAGGTCCATCCATGTTGTCGCAAATTTCATTTTCTTTTATAGCCAAGTAACATTCCATTGTATATATGTATCATATCTTCTTTATCTAATCATCTATTGATGGGCATATCTCGGCTATTGTAAATAGCACTGCAGTGAACATAGGGGTGCATAGATCTCTTGGAATTAGTGTTCTGAATTTCTTTGGATAAATACCCAGAAGCAGTATTTATCCTGCTGGTTTATAAAGTAGTTCTATTTATAATTTTTTGAGGAACCTCCATACTGTTTTCCATAGTGGCTGCACCAATTTGCAATCCTACCAACAGTGCACAATAGTTCCCTTTTCTCAACATCCTCACCAATACTTGTTGCTTGTTGATTTATTGATGCTAGCCATTCTGACAGGTGTGAGGTAATATCTCATCGTGCTTTTAATTTGCATTTCTCTGATAATTAGTGACAACTGAGCATCTTTTCATATGTCTATTGGCCATCTGTATGTCCTCTTTGGAGAAATGTCTATTCAGGTCCCATGCTCATTTTTTAATTGGGTTGTTTGTTATTTTGGTGTAAAGTTGTATGAGCTCTTTATAAATTTCAGATATTAACCCCTTATCAGCTGTATCATTGATGAATATCTTCTCCCATTTGGTAGGTTTCCTTTTCATTTTGTCAATGGTTTCCTTCGCTGTGCAAAGACATATTAGTTTGATGTGGCCCCATTTGTTTATTTTTTCTTTTGTTTCCCCTGCCAGAAGAGATATACCAGAAAAAAATACTACTAAGAGCAATGTCAGAGAGTTTACAGCCTATGTTTTTTTTCTAAAGTTTTATTGTTTTGGTTTAAGTCGGAGCCTTTAAAAAGAAATAACAAAATAAAGAACCAGTTTTAACTGGCCACGTTAAACTACTTTAAATATGTTCTAAAACTGTGCTTTAAAATTTTCCCCACAACATTTTTGACTATATGAGATACAGGTACTTTAAGAAAATGTTTCTAGAAGACAGGCTCTGAGGCAGTGCATGAGCTGAAGCCAAGGCTAAGGCATAGCTAAGGGAATCTGTTTTCCTGGGATACTAATTAACTCCAAATATTGCATATAAATTAAGCCAGCAGCTACTAAAAGCAGCAGCTTATGGGAGAGAAAAAAAACTAAAGAAGTTTTTTGGGTTTTTTTTTGTAATACTGTCTTCTAATTAGAGAAAACGATATCAGGGGCATAGGAGGAAACTTTTTCTCTCCATCCCAGTATTTTACTCTTTTTCTAGAAGTTTCCACCCTTTTCCCTTTTGTTTTCCTTTCTCCATGATGGCAGGTGTTGATTTCTTGGATAACTGACTAATGAAGGGTCTCTTCCCCCAGGAGCCTGCTCTCTTTCGTCTCTTGAATAAGGAAGTCATTCTCTGAACAGATGCCCTCCTAGCTGTGTGCTCAAATTTGAGGTATGAGCATCCCCCGCTCCTCCCTGAAGATTTTGATTCAGTGAGTTTGGGGCAAGGCCTTAGTATCTGCATGTTTAACAAGTGTCCCAGGTGATTCTTTTGAGTTTGGGAATGACACAGTCCCTTGCACCTGCAGTGAGACACCTGCAGTCCTCACAGAGTAGATTCAGTTCAGAGAAGAAGGTGTCAGCACTTGAAGCTGCTGCTATCACCCTCCCTTTCCAGACAGATCTATTTGTTTCATTGTTGCGTGTAATAAGCTTAGTTGTCAGAATAAAGAGTTGACTCTTTACTTTTAATGTGCAAATAGAAGTATATGAATCATTTATTTTAGGTAAACCCACCGGCGCCTGATTTACTACTTTTAATCTGAACTGTGTTGTTCAGCATCTCCTCTGGTGGCTTAATTCCAGTTTTTGTTAAGAACATGACAACCTTTTTATGATCCTTATAAATAATCTAAATCAACCACTGAAAATCATCACTCCACAGCCACCGGCAGCAAAGAAAATGGCCAAAATAGATACACCAGTTGCACCATCCACAGAACCTTCCATTTACCCCAGATGTTTAAAGAGTTTGTACAGAAATCTGTGACCTAAAGAAAGTCTTCTTCTTTGAACAGTCGTCTATCCCGAAAAGGACTGCAGGGACATTTCCGCTTAGGCCTAAAAGCACATACATGGCATCACCATAACCCTCTGGAGAAATAAAAATATGCTATTTGTGACATTATTATACTGTGATTTGAGGTTCAACCTATTAGCCATGGTCTAGTTAAGACTACAGATTAAGAGTAGCCCAAGGCATTAGTATCACCCATATGTTGCTAAATGAAGAGGCCTATTGTGTGTCTCCTATAAACGGCTTGTCGAGAATAAAAGACAATAATGCCATCATGCTTGCCTCTTCCTAAACTTAGGAATACTCACAGCAAAGAGCTGCTTTGCAATATCAGGATATCTCTGCTTGTGAAATCACAAATTACTTATGAGTATCGCAGTTCTGAATTACATTTTTCAAACTTGACCTTGAGCTTTTTGTCAACTGCTCACTTGTACTTGACTGTACAAAGCTTTTCATTTCTCTTGATCAATTTCACACTTTTGTTTACATCTCTTATCAAGAAGAATTAAAATTATTTCATGAAAACATTTGTATAAGCCAGCTATCATTCAAGAATAGATTCTAGAAAGGTTTCTTAATTAGTTTCCTAGAGATGATACTTAAAATTATGTAATTTTAAAGGAAATAGCTGAGGTGAGAGAAGAAAAAATATATGTGAATAAGAGAGAAATTAGTAGGGCATTATTCATTTAACAAAGACACAAAGTAGCCTTGACCAAGTAGCCATTTATCGTTAGAACATTGGTTTTAAAGAAGGACTCTGAAATATCACTGCTTCCTCCCAAGTGTGTGGGAAGGGCATTGAATTGAAGATAGAGGTGCATGGTTTGAGTCCAGGTGAGTTCTAGTCCTTATTCTTCCTGGTATAACTCTGGATAATCATTTTGTTTCTCTGTTTCAGTTCTGTCTTCAGTTGAATGGGAGATTAAAAAACATATGTCCTACCTCATATGGTAGCTATGAGGAATAACTGTACAACTTGCCTCAAATATCATGTAACAGGCTCTGACAAATGTGAAAAAGTTTCCCATGGTGTAAAGCACTATGAACAGTGTTATTAGTAACCTTTATTCTTCCATGAGAATTTTCGAGCCAAAAACTCAACTTACTGTAAGTCCCAAATACCCAGATTCAAAAGATAGCACAAAGAATAAGGGAATAAGAAATGATCTAACATAGCCCAACATCCTCGAAGTGGGGTGCCCTGAGAGAGGCTGTTTTCTCATAAGCTCTGTTGTGTAGCCCATTGATTCCATGGCCAAGATCACAGGTGTAGAAAAGCAACCCTCCGAATAATTCAAAATAATGGCCATGCAAGCCCAGAGCCAGATGGTAGATATAAATGCTCTGGGAGCTTACCTTCCCTCGTTTTCTTCTTGATTTCTCTCTCATTTCTTCCTGACAAAGTCAAATGGCACACCAAAAAAACAAAACGAAACAAAAAAACACCTATCTCTTAATGATAAACACATAAGAATCTGTTGATAGGTATGCTGGACTGAAACTATTTAAGAAAGCAAACATATATTAAAACTGAGTCAATTTAATGTATTATTTCTGATGCATTTTTTCCTGGCCAAGAATGCGAATAAAACAGAAAGATAATAAAACTGGGAGACAGAAATACATGATGCAAGATATATACAAATCTACGTATAATCCTAATGTGCTGAGAGATTTTCTTGATGAAAAAGATTCCACTTTGAGTTGCTGCCAGTTTTGATGCAAATGTAACATGTACCATAGCCCACAAGCCTATGGCTGCAAGTAGGTAGAGTTATAATAACTCATCACAAGTTATTCTTTGTTATGATTTCTATTTCAGAGTTAAGCATGCCTTGGTAGCAATAATGTTATACTTAGTGTAAGTAATCCAAACCAAGGAAAGACACTGTGGAAAAATACAAAATATTTACTCTACCTTACCTAGCAACTCCTAATGAACAACATGTGTGCTGTATCTTTATGAGTTGTAGCCCATGTCTGTGGAAAATTCACTACAGAATAAAAACAAACACTGCATATTACATTTAGTATACAGCATGCCTTTTCTGCTCAGTGCAGGAAAAATCTACTGCCCAGCAGATAATGAGACTGATGGGCTGACAGCAGCAATGTGGCAGGATGTTGTTCTTTTTTTGCCCCCGAATAAAAATAAAATAGCATTGTTTACTATCCCAATTAAATTCCAGTCCAATTCAAAACTCATCTTCAGAGCTGTCAGCTAAGAGCATTACTCGATCTTGCATGCTGTTGAATTCTCTCTGCTGTAGAAAAAAAAAAAAAAAAAAACAGAAAAGCATTAAACTTCTGCCACAGAGCAAAGCTGAGAAACAGGCCCCCTTTAAAAAGACACACTGATGAACGAAGGTAAGGCAGCAGCTAGAGCAGCTAATCCAAACCACTGGGCACATCCAGATTGTTCATGCATCATTAAGCCCCGTGTGCTTTACTAAGCAAATTAGAAAAAAAGAATGTTCTGAAACTGATTAGGTTTTGCTGTTGTTGGTTCCATACCTTTCTTTTATGCCTTTTGAAGCCATTTCTCCTTCGGCGATTCATCACCTTAATGCTGTAGAGAGCTCCCAAGATGAACAAGGCTCCAGCTATCCCCACCCCTACAGGCACCAGCATCCCAGACATATAGCCCGCCTGCAGAGAAAAGGAAACCCACATTAGGATGCTGAACAGACCACTGCCCTGGGTTCCTCATTGCTACTGGATGGCAGCAGGTTTTTATAGACACTGAGAATTCTCCCGTCTGTTTTCTTATAAAATAGAAGAGCATCTAGAATAAAGTTACTTTTTCTTGGAGAAGGCAACAGAGAGAGGTATGACTATTTTGGGATATTTCCAATTTATTTGATTCAAATAAATTAGCCAGACCTAGTGGTGCCTCTAGCCACTTGCTTATGCACATTTGTCAACATCGGGTTTGGGTGACAGAAATATAATTTGTATTAAAGATGGATGGAGTAAGCTTCAGAGAATGCCAAGACTATTAAAATGCAATAAATTGGAAATGTCAGCCTGAGTCGAGCTCTAGAGTGGGTAAAGTGCCCTCTGGAATACTGTGTTTCTTGAAGGGCAAAAGGAGAGCCTTGACATTGGTGGTCTGCTCACTCACAATCTTAGCTGCATTACAGTAAGAGAGAAAAGAAGAATGTGTTTGTAAGTGGGTAAAAGGTGAGGGCTTCTGGAAACAATGGGGACCCGCAAAGGAAAGAGGGAGGATGTTAGATGTTGGAACACAGGCAGAAAAGAAAAGAACGAGGAGAAAGTGCGCGCCCAGAGAGGACAGATTAATTTATATGAAAGGAATAATTTGCCCAGTGGACAAGACCAAAGTCGGGGGTTGGGAGGGAATTCTGAGTGTTCCCAGCCGCAAAGAAAGAAAGTGGCAGAGAAAGGCATAAAGCTCACTGCCAATAACATTGATACTTATAAAAGAGCCTGGAGGTATCAAACCTATGTGTGTCTCCAACATCCTCACGGAGTCACTATGGATACCTTGGTCCTAAGAAAGCAGTGTGATCTCCACATATTCCTGGGCTTGTGGTAGTAGTTCAGGACCTACCCAAACTAGGGATAGGGCCACCACTCTAAGGGTGCCCCCTGTACCTTAGCCAATAAGACACCTAAGGGCTACAGGAGTGCTAACTAGAGCCCTTTTATGTAGGAACATGATACTGGTTTGCCCCTCCCCCCCAAGAAGGCCCCTTCTAGAAGTCAATCAGACTAAATACATAAACAATTAATAAATTTTAAAGCTGTAACAAGAGCTTTAGATAGGCATTCTTTTGGCAGAGGTGGAGGTGGGGAAATAGGTTTATTCATTTATTTGACTACTCCTAAAATTTCTAATATAGCACAAACTATTTCTAGTATCTTTCAGAATGAGACAAAAACAGAGAGGGACAGAGAATAAAAGTTTTCTAAAAAGTGCTAAAATATGCAGTCTGTGATGCTTTCCCAACATTTCCAGAAGTAAATTAAAGGAATAGACAAGACCTCACAATGGTCTTGTCTTGCACTCAGCTGGCTTGCTTACTAGTTCTGCTTGCCAGAGTCTTGAGTTAGGGCAGAATATGGAAATTTTCCCATTAGTTTGAGAACAATAGCATTGTTCATCAGCATACTAAGTGCTTTTTCCTAGAGAAACAAAGCCCAGTCATTTTTCAACAAATTATTATGCTTTGCAGAAACTCAACTTTTTTCTAAAGTTCTTCCAGATCTACTTAAGGCTTATCAAACTTTGTAATTTTTCTGTGTGGGAAAACATTAGACAATAGCAAAGTTCAGGTACTCTAATCAGAACTGTAAATAAGTATTTTTTAAATTACCATTCCCAGTGCACAGAAACATATGTACATGTTGAAATATGATCAATTTTAAGCGCAGTGGTCTGGATGGTACAGAGCTGTACATTCACAGGATGACATCTGAGCTTTTGGAAGTTCTGCTTGATCAAGCTCTGTGTGGGTCTCCTCATGCTATGTAACAAATCATGTAAACTTCAAAAAAAAATTCAGTTAATCTCTCTCCTCTCTTTTTTGTCCCCTCATGTGTCATCTGCCTGTGCTTTAAAATTACAAGTAAATTACAAGATGGGAACAAAGCAACCTATCCTCTTCAAATATAATTTAACCATTCCTCTTTCAAAACTAATTGAAAACAATCTCTTCTTTTAGATTCGTCTATAACTTATTTCCAAGAGAATGAAGACGCATGTATATATTCTGTAAGTTATAAATTCTGCCTAGTACCTTTTCTCTGTTCAAAATTATTGGATGTACCTGTGCCTCCATATGTGATACCATGAGAGAGACACAGCTGCACTGCGTATATTCCAGCTGAGAATATGTACATTGAATCTAATCATGAGGAAACATCTAATAAACCTAAAATAAAGGATATTCTATTTTTTAAAAAAAGGACGACTTTTTAAAAAAATGTCAGTGTCACAAAAGACAAAAGATGGCTACAAAACTGTTTCAAATTAAAGGAAACTAAAGAATCATGACAAAAGTACTGTATTGATATTAAATAGACTTAAGCTAATAACTGTATTATGTTTGCTAACAGACTATTCCTGTTCGTAGAAAACATATGCTGAAGGATTTGGGATAAAAGCACCATGACGTATGCATATTTTCTTCAAATTATCCAGATAAAAAGGCAGTGATGGGAAGAGAGTACCAGTGAACTGATAAAGCAAATGAAGTGAAATGTTAAAAACAGGCGCATCCGGATAAAAAGTATAGGGGTATTCTTTGTACTGTTCTTATTCTCGTACCTTTTCTGTAAATTTGAAATTATTTCCAAATAAAGTTTTTAGTTTTTAAAATAGATTGTAAGCCAAAATATTACTTGATATAGCTGGTTTTTGTTTGTGTTTGTTTTTTGTTTGTTCTACATTAATGAGAGCCACTGCTATGAGATATAGTCTGGGCCTCCCGTTTTCTGTATAATTTCCTAAAGCTAAATAAAAGAAATAGAATGATCTTGGTGACATAACAACAGGACTGGCTTTATTACACAACTACAATTGTTATACATCTTCAGTTTTGAGAAGCAACTTAGATATTGAAAAATATATCAATAGGGAGCCAAGTTAGGATTTTTTCAACAAGCACCACAACCTCATACATGTAACCAGGAAGAAGGTTAATGATGGAATGAGTATAGAAATTGTCCCTCAATATACATTTGCCTCCTTATTCTAGAGCAATAGAGCTTCTGTGTGGGCTGGGTATAGAATAACAATTACTTCTCCCTGCCTTCCATGGAGCTAGGAATGACCATGTGATAAATCCCACTAAGGAAATGATACATTAGTGCCATGTTCGACTTCCAGGACATGCTCTTTAAAGGGGAACAGAGCCTTTACCTACCTATCCTCTTTTAGGATGACAAAATGTCTTCATCTTCCCTTTAAGAGGAGAGAGATGTCTTAGCTTCCCTTTTCCTCCTTCCTCCTGGCTAGAAAATAGACCTAGCTAAGTTGGAACTGACATCTAGGACCATGAAGTGACCTTGGGAATGAAGGTCACAAATGATGGAGCTTCAAATGGAAGGAGCCTGAACCTCCACAGTGTTGCTCCTCGTTAACCCTTGACTGCTACCTCTAGACATATAAATCAGAGATGAACTTCTATCTGGGTTAAGCCACTGTCATTGAGTGTAGTCTATCACTTATAGCTGATCTTAACTCTATTATAGAAAGACTAAACAATAACATCAAAAGAAATATTTCAGAACTTTTTAGAGCATCATCCTTCCTAGAGCCTAACTAACTAACTAACTAACTAACTAACTAACTAGAAAACCAATATTGAGAACAATTAAAAGAAGCTACTAAACTGAGAAGTTTAGTCCTGGGTTGGCTGAAGAGCCAGTTAAATATGTAGTTTAGTTTTCAGTTCTATGGGATTCTGTGACTTTCATCAAAGTGGCAGTAGTTTTGCTCTCAAATAGTTTCTGAAGATAATGACTAACAAGAGTTTTATAGATGAAAGCTAACTAGATGAAGAGAGAAAGGTATGGAGGGAGGAAGATATACATATATACATACCTGTGTGTATACACATATGAACATAGGTGTCAAGTACGCGTATAATATTTCACTCATGGGGAAGGGGAGACATGGGAAAGATTAAGAATGAGTTCCTTCAAGAGTCACAATATGAATACACAAGGCATTAAATAAGTCAACCACGATGGGAGTCTCAACTACTTTTCTTCCAGTTTTGAAAAAATTAAGACATAATTGAAAAAAATGCTACAGAAGAAAATGTTGGAAAAATTTCAAAATAATCCAGAAAACTAAAGGCAATACATAAACTTATTTCTCCTGGTGAAAAGGAACGGGGGAAGGTGCCAGGCCTTTGAGACAAGATAAGAAGGAAGAATACACAGGAATAGAAATAGAATAGTCTTTCTCTAAAGCCGCAAAGATTTTTAAATGGAGTGGTGAAGCTGTGTGTGCGTGCGTGTGTGTGTGTGTGTGTGTGTGTATACAGGTAAAAAAATTTTTCAATATTCAACTTCAAAACAGGCTACATGCCAAAACTTGTTTATTTAAGTCTATTTTTTGTTCAATTGTATAACTCAGAAGAATATTTTCTATAGAAACAATGACATACGGATTCCTAAATTAAACTATCAAAGCCTGTTTACTTTTGATTGCATATTTTTCTCTGAAAAATAACAAGAAGCACTACCAATGTAAATATAGGCAGTTCTAAATTTTTGAGCTTTCCTTCCCCCAAATCTCGTTCAGTCCATCTGATTATGCTTCTCTGAGACAACTGGATCCTGTATTAATGATACCAAAAATGCCCTTCATTAATCTCTAGAGGCTTAAAAGTTTTCAACATCCCTTCTAATAAATATGAGCACAAAGTCTCATTTTCAGACACTATATTTGTTAAATTTTACTGAGAAGCAGAAAAATAATAGTGAGGAGGATTAATAAAATTTTATAGTTTTAATCATAATTAGATATCTTATTGTTTAACATTGAGCTATAGCCAAATAAATATTAATCATTCTCATATGGAGAAAATTGACCCCAAATAATACAAAAGATATAGAACACCATCAACAGAAGTATATTCTAAGACAGGTGAATCAGAGGTAACCCAATATCTGGCAGTTGAAAAGATTTTCATTTAACTAAGCCCTCAGTTAAATCTGAGCTGGGTTATAGTAATTTAGATCTGACACAGACTATAGCAAGGAATTCAGGATTCCATCAATATTTTTATGATTAATTCCAATTTATAATTACAGAGTAACCAAAAACGGAAACTTGAAGAGTGTTGAAAATTAAAAGAAAATGAAAAATATGAACCTGGAAGGAAGTTAATATTGTCAATCACTAAGTGGATGGCACAATTAATGAAAAGAGAAAAATATTTTGCTATAGTTGGCCATTCCAGACAAGTCAGCTCATGATCACTTAGTAAGTGGTGACACGGTGATAGACTACATAAAAGTGGGTCTAAGGAGCGTGCTCAGGTCTTCAGGTGCTTTATATCCCCTACCGCCCCACTATGGTTTAAAGATGCTCCTCCCCATCTCAAACTTCTATTCTTAAATCAAATCTGCCCTTGGTCAAAAGAATCAATGCCTCCCAAAATCCAAGGTATTTCTTCCTCGTACAGGAAGGTCAGGCTTAAAAGAGTATTGTATTGGGACAAGAAATGCCCAATAGAATGGGGTGACATTCCTGAAAATCCCTAGAAGGAATTCCACTTTGATACATTGAAGATATTATTCAGTTAAGCATGTTGCCTTAAGAATAAATCGTGCTCCGAAGAATAAGTGTAATATAAGAAGGAAACTAAAGGGAAGACCTTTCATGCTGGGCCCTCAATCTTTGCCTAGATTATCAGAATCAGAATAATGAATTAAAGCTCCATTACCGTGAAGATCTTTCAGATGCCAAAGCCATGCCCTCTCAGGTAAATGTGAAGAAAGAAAATAATTCTCTTACCTTGTCTTTTAGTTTTTCCATCCAGCTTCTCACTAAGGAAAATAAGAAAATAAAATTTAAACAGCCATCTTTTTATTTATATTTCATTGTGTTAATTCAATAACTTACTCATATATCATGGTATTAAATTTGATACAATGAAGTTTTCATTGTATGAAATAGAGAAAAAAGGTCAACAGTATTAACATGACAGTATTATTTTTAATAGTATTGTTTTTAGTTCTCATTTATTTAAAAAAAATGCAACAGAGAGCACAAACACATTTCTCATATCATTAGATGAACAGAGAATATTTTAGTAATATTTTTTATTGTTATTAAATGCTTTAGGGGGAGATCTAGAGAAGGAGAGAGGAAATCACCTTTAAAATATCAAGTTTATTTTTTATCTGACATTTTCTCCTGAGCTGGTTCTCAGGTTTTAAGCACAATGGAAATTCTGCACTTAAATCATTATCAGAGCAGAGTAAGATAGGAAGGGGCGATGGGCAGGCCGGAGTGGCTGAGCACTGGCTCCAAAAGGAAGCATTTGCTTTCACATTTGAAGAAGAAAAATTTGACCAAAGGCAAAAGGACAGGAAGTACTTCTGAAATACATATAGCTTGTGAACTGTACCATTCCATCGCAATGCAGCCAGTATGAAAAAATAAAAGCAATAATCAAGTAATATTTATAAACACTAACTACAAAGGACTACATCAACAATGAAATGCCATATAGACCATTATTACAATCATTTTAAAATACATGTGTGAAGAATAGAAGGGAGCATTAATCCAAATAAGAACATGCAAAAGAATCACCATGTGAAGGATGGTTTGAAGTTAGTGGTGGGTTGTTTTTTTTTTTTTATCCTTACCTGCCTTTTAGAGTTAGAAAACTGAATTTAAATTCATTTTTAAAAAGCACCAAAAATGAGACAAAAGACGAATACATTCTCATTTTACCTTTATTATCAAACAAAATAAATTAGTTTTTTTAAAAGGCTTGCAAGATTTCCTTAAATGCCCTTTCCTCTCCAGGAGCTTCAATATATAGGAAGGAAGGATGCAGATTGGCAGGTCCAGAAATGGCTCCCAAAAAGCACAGGCTAGTGGTTGGCACACTTTTCTTGGAAAGAGCCAAATAGTAAATACTTTAGGCTTTGCAGACCAATTAATCCCTGTCACAACTACTCAGCTCTGCGGCTACAGTGAGAAAGCAGCCAGGAACAATACATAAATAAATGGCTTTGAACATGTTCCAGTAAATTTTATTTATGGACACTGCCATTTGAATTCCATGTAATTTTTGTATGTCACAAATATTTTTCTTTTGATTTTTTAAGCATATTAAAATGTAAAGAAAACATTCTTTGCTAACAGGCCATACAAGAACAAGCAGCAGGCCAGATTTGGTCCATGGGACATACTTAGCTGATCCTTGGCATAGATATGCTTTATCCAAAAGCTAGTGTCTCCATTTACCATGTGACTTTTGTACTCATATATCTGATAATAATAAGGACAGCTAACACGTGTGTATGGCCTTACCTCCTTACAAAGCATGTTCGACTGTATTGCATCATTTGATCAGCAAAACAAAGACAAACGTGAGAATCAGGTAAGATGATACTCAGGGAAAAGATGAGGAAGCTGAGACTCAGAGAAGCTAAGAGACTCGCCCATGGTTAACTGGGGAGTAAAGAGTCACTGGAACTCCAAACACTATCCGATTTAACGACCTCGCAACTTCCCATTTCTTTTGGTGATACCTACCATTACTCTTCTATTCTCTCCAGTTGAAAATATGGAGACACCTTTGGTTCTTCTGTCTCCGTTACTCCACAGCTTCAATTTCTCATGTTAAGACCTGGCAAGACCTCTTAGGTTTGTCTTTCCCTCGCTGCTTCTTCTCATGTTAAGACCTGGCAAGATCTCTTAGATTTGTCTTTCCCTCGCTGCTTCTTCTGTCTCAACTGGGATTCAGGCAAAGATAGCAGTGACTAATCGGCACAAGATCAGAGTCATAGGAAGGTCAAAAGAAGAAAGTGCAGGAATCTCAAGAAAGAGGCAAAGGATTAGTGATTCTACGAATGGTCCAAGGAGAAGGGAGGTCAACTACTGATTGGCCGAGTGACTCTGGAGAAATTAGCAAACTTCTTAGACCCTTGGTTTCCTCATATGTGAAATGAAGTTGGCAACACCTGTCTTGTAAGATTTTTGTGAAGATTATAAATAACATGTAAAGTGTCTATTACAGTACTTGGTGCAGAGAAACTAGAAAACAAAAACAAGAAATCTGGGACAAGAGGAGAGAAAAAAGACAAGTGTAATATGAATATTGTGTTAACATGTCTCATGTGTTAACTAAGCCCATGACATAAAGTGAAATTCAAGCAAAAGAATGCTTCCAATTTATTCATTCATTCATTCATTCATTCGTTCGTTCAACAAATATTTATTATACATATTGTGTTGGCCAGGCATTGTGCTCTACACTGCATCAGTAGAAGTTATGGGGACCTAATTTCAGTGAGAAAAGCCTTAGGCCACCAGGTCTATGAGAAGTGGATGACAAGCAACAATGTAGACACCAAGAGAGTGAGGCACAGAGCAGGAAAGCCAGCTACTGGGGCAGAAGGCAGAACTCCAACGTCTGAAGTAAGATATCTAGAAGGGGAATAGCTAGGTATTTTATAAAGAGCAAAACAAAAGAGAGGTGGGAGCGAGAATGCTGATATGAGTACCTTGTGGTGGAGGTGAGCTGCGGGGAGGGGTGGGATGGGGTGGTGGTGGTGGCTGACTACTGGTGGAGGGCAGGATAAGGGTAACTTGGAGAAGAAGAAAAGGAGGCACAGATGAAGCCAGGGTCCAACACACTGATAGGCTTTTGAACTGTGGTAAATTCATTGTCAAGAGAATCTCAGACCTTATCTCAGACCTGAATAAGGTCTGAGAACCTATATGGAAACTGTCCATATAGATTCTTAGAGTAAAATTCAGAGACCTGCTTTAGATGATCCTTAATGCAGTAACTCTCCACTGAGTGAGGGAAGGCACATCAGCACAGGATGTGCATATGTGCACGTGTAGTTTGAAAGAGCACATTCAATGGATCTAGTTCTGTAGTGTATAATAGAAACTACTGGGGAAAAGCTGAGCAAATTCTTCTTGGCTAGTGAGAAGGGTGATACACCAAAGATAGTGAGACATTATTTGGGGGGATATGGGTCTAAAAAATGTTGGATAAAACACCGTTCTTTAGAGTATGTAAGCCCAGTTGTGTTTTCCCAATTAAGACTTAATATGAGACCCCTGAGGGTCACAACTTGTGCTTCTCAGGCATCCACCAGGGTCCTTAACATTGAACGCTCAGGGGCTTAACAACTATCACTTCCTTTTCTTTTAGAAAATATTTATTGCTTTCAAGTGAGTTCACAATGTTTGAGTAAACATGATTCTCTTTCATGAGGGTTCTGCAAACTGTTTTCAGTAAAACAGTTAAGGGAGTGTTAAAATAAATTTTACACAATGATCAATTTAAAACTTAAGGAACGGAAATTGATAAGAGAATGCAAAAGCAAGAAGAGAGAAAATGGAAAGATTTTTAGTAGAAATAAAAGAATTTTTTATGAAGAGAACCAACAACTGCAATTTTTTTTTTTTAATGAAGAATCATTACACTGATGAAAGGGGTATGAATTGATACAATTTTTTGGAGGTGTGAGGTGAATTTGCAATCAATATTTTTTAGAGCTTTAAAAGAAAGCTAATTTTTTTAATCCAAAGTTCCAGTTGTATTAGAAATATATCTTAAACAATTAATCATGGACATGCACAAAAAATTTATGTAAATAATGTTCACTGCAACATTATTTACAATAGAAAAGAACATGTAAACAACATCAAGATCCAACCATAGAGGATTGAGTTAAACACTCAAGGAGAAAAAAACCTTAGGCTATGTCTACAGGGTGGAATCTCATCTGAAAATTAAAGTTATTTAAAGAAAAATACTTAATGTTGTTCAAATTACATATTGCAAAATTTAAAAATAGAGTACGTGCAATGTGAGCTTAAATTTGTGGATATACTTTATGTATAATTAGAAAAATGTACATCAAAATGTTAACTGAGTTTATCAATGCGTTGTACAATTGTGGGTGATTTTCTTTCATTCTCTGTATTTCTAGAATTTTCCAAATTATTTATCATTTATTACTACTTTTAAAATAAGAAAAATATATATTTTACCGCCCCCCAAAAAACCCCCACCAAATTCTGTAAACTTTTATAAGTGGAGGTTCATAGTGGATAGCTGACAGTGGAGAACACAAGAAGTGGAGAAAGAAGTTGAGGCCCTTCCACTTGGTTAGTTCCTCAGCCCACAGCTACAGATGCATTCTAATCCCACTGATTCTGGTCTGTTACCTTCTCTGAAATTTTATTTAATGCAAGGCTGAAAGCACACCAATATAATGAGGCTTCTGATCTCCTTCTAGTCAAAAGAGTGATACACAGAAAAAAAAAGTAGACGCGGATTATTAAAAGCCGATTCTTCCTCACGCTTGCCAGCGCCCTCTTGTGTATGGTAGTCCCAGGTACAGCAATTTGCCCTCCTAACAATTGTTAAAGAGGCCCTTGGTTTTTAATAGACTGTGGCTGAAAAGGGTCCCAAACTGCTTATTTAGAAGGGTATTTTTAATTTCCTTTATTTCCAATGACAATATTTTATTGGCTATGTTCGTCCCAGACATACCCATAAATTCCTTTTCACTAAAGAGATGGGAGCCAGAGAAGATTCAGGATTTGTCTGAGCTAGTAATTAAGATTTGTTGAGCATCTCACAAAAAGCTTTCAAGGTATGTATTTTTATCCTCCTTTTACAGATGAAGAAAACGAAGCTTAAGTAAAGTGTTTAAAACCACAGAGCTGAAAAGGAATTGAGCTGAAACTGGAACCCAGGCTCTTACGGCTCTAAAGCATATGCTTATTCAGTATGCCAGCGGGTCACTTTGGGGAGGGGTATGGGATGTGGGCGAGGGTGTCC